ACTTCATATTTGGTATGCATACTCTACTAATTAAGCACTTTCCATTGACACCAAGGTCAATGATCTCGTGACCTTGATTGTGACCTACACGCTAAAAATAGCTTTTTCGAACTTTTGTTATAACTTTTGACACATGAGAGATAGAGACTTCATATTTGGTATGCTTACTCTACCAATTAAGCACTTTCAACTGCCACCAAGGTCAATGACCTTGTGACCTTGATTGTGACCTATTTGCTAAAAATTGCTTTTAAGAATTTTGCTGTCGCCGGGCGCATAGTGTTTCACAAACACATCTTGTTTAAATTTTATTTCCTTTTTTAATGTAGTTTTGATGGGTTTATGAATTTGATGCGTTAATTCAAGGGAAAGGGGAGGAGAACTCCACGCAGCCCCAAACTTTGTAATACAGCGTGAACATCTTCTTTGTAAGATAAATAAAAATCAGGGATTTCCGGCAAAGAGTGTTAAAGCGATGATGTCGCTTATTTAAGCATGACTTCATAAGGAAGACAAAAGAGACATTAAATAATTTATTAACAAATAATTATTCCATTATGTTAAAGGATTGGTGAAAAGTCCGAGCGAAATAAAAAGGGGGTGGTAGAGGGCAAAATCTTCACACCCCCCCCCCCCGCTTGTTAGAGATCTGCGAATGCAGAGACTGGACGTACGTCGTTTACTCTGAGTCGCTCACTATAAGAAAAGGAGATCAGAGGTTAGGCACTATGTTATATAGATACTATAACCTTACATGGAATAATAAAATCATAGGGGAGACCACAGGTCACCCAACATAATCCATAAATGTTGAACTCTAATATATCATATATCTTATAATATTGAAGTTAATGTTGCAACCCCCCTCCCCATCACAGATGGTTATTCCCTTGACAAAAATAAATTTTCTGTTGTTTTTTTTACACTGAAAAGGCTTCACAGTATTACGATTTATTCTATTTTCACTTTACGTATGCAACGCACTACATTTTGTAGCGGAGTAAACAGACCCGAGAGACGTGAACTGCACGGGGGACCTAAGGTCCTAGTTCAGCGTACGTTTTATCCTTCTGCATATTATACTTGGTTCAGAATTACATAGGGTAAAAACAGACTATAGGAACTCTTTTATTCGAGGAGGTAAAGAATTTCGTCACGGGAGCCATATTTTGAACTGAGATTTCAGTGAATATTTTTATGTTGGGATTTACATGCCTAAACGGTAAGCTATGTAGAAATAATAGTGACAGAGAGTCAAATAAACAACTAAATGACTTAATTGAAGCGAACGGCAGTGTGGTCAAGGTGAATAATTCTTGCTATAGTCGACCGAAGTTGGGACTTAATTTCCATACATGAATTACTAGTAGTCGTCCAGGGATTCTGCGACGGCGTCAGTCCAAATATCTAGCCTAGCAGAATCTCAACAGGGATTATGGTTCTCCTCAGCGACACAGTCGAGAAAATTGCATTTCAATTTGAATATGAAGAGAAAACCAGGCTTTGTTATTCTGACCATTCTTCTACCTGTTATAATTCTATCTTTTTTTAACTTAGTTGCTTTCTTGTTGCCTATAGATTCAGGAGAAAAAATGGGGACCTCCATGTCGATTTTCTTAACATTCGCCTTCTTTTTGACACTTGTCATTGACTCATTACCAACGTCTGATGATATACCTCCGTTCACAATCTACCTGAATATACAACTCTTAATCAGTGGACTAACCGTGGTTTTGGAAGCTGTGGTTTTACATGTTCATTTTAGGGATAATGAGAATCCTGAAGAAAGGTCTGAGAAGAAAGTTGCACCACTTGACACAGAGGTTGAGCCAGCGCGAACTGAGATTAAATCAGATTTCATCATGTTTGTAAAATGAAACCTAACAGCCAATGCACTGGACCGATTATTTTTGATCTTCGTTATGACTGTTGACTTTATTTCATTGGTGGTATTATTTTCAAAGATTATGTGAAATATATTTTTGTTTTCCTCTATTTCTTGAAGTTTATTGATATTTCTACGTGTAATTTCTAGAAATCGTATTAGCTTACATCCATTATCGTAGCTTACATCTATGTACATAGGGGCTAAGGTTGTTACCTGATCTTTATTTCTATAAAACAATCATATATAGATAAAATGTAATGAATATCATCAGCGATTTCTGATTATTCACGTTTAAAAAAGAAGCGAAAAAATAAACTTCAATCAAACAATATTTGTTTTTTCATATGTATAATCATAGAACTACTTTATTTTGTTTTGTATTTTACTGACTTATTGGTTATTACCCAAAAAGGGAAACCATGTTAAATCAGTATAATACTTACTATCCTGATTTGGTGTTGGACACCCCCCCCCCCCCATAAACTGAATCATCTTTATCCATGCATTCATTTCAAATTCTCAGGATTCTAAGAAAATTCCCACATGTAATTACTTTACCTTTAAATTCACACAGTATCTCGAGTTTTCAAGATTTCAGTTTACGACAACATGTACATGGCTGCTGGGCGTAAATATCAGTTTCTAGAGTCCACTCCGATACTATGGTGAAATTATTACTCCGATACTATGGTGAAATTATTGAGGGCCATAATTTGAATTTATTTAATATTTCATTTACATCACATCATATATGAGGGTTGTTCGAAAAGTTCGTGGACGATGTCAATCTTCGTTATATTACACACTAAAAATTTTAAATAAGCTGCAATTATATGCAAAAATATTTGTTTTGTTGATCCTTGATGTTTCATTCCATTCGATTTAAAAGATATCAATATGTTTTATACCCGCGGAGCACCCTTAACGAGAATGTAACGTCAAAATATAATTTCTCAAATATACTTTTCCTAATAAATATTTCACAAAGTATAATCAAATGCCCAGTTATTAAATCCTTTTTTTTTTAATAAATTTATCTTTTAAGAATTGTTCTCGTTGTATAATTTCCTTTGTTCAGATTTAAATTTCATTTTTTACAGAACTCTTCTTTCACAGGGTAAGCAGCTCTAAAGCACCTATTTCTTTCCTTTATGTTCAAACTTTTGAAAGTTTTTAGTAAGATTTTTACAGATAAACGTTTCTTCACAGATTGTCCTCATCTTATACAAAGTCCCTGTCACTCAAATACTGTCTATACTATTTGTAAACACATGCACAACTCGCTTGTGACATATGTTTTGATTCCTTCAATATTTTTTGAGTTTATTCTGGAATTTTTCTGAGTAAAAGAAAAAATTGCATCGTTATCGGCTGCTCCGTGACGTTTTAAAACGTCATCGTTTTTGTCGTTTTCAATGAGGACTACCTATTTTCTCAACTTGATTTAGTTGATTTCTTTTCAACAAAGCAAGATATTAAGCCATAATTTGGAATACCAATCGATGTTACAATTCTGAATTTGGATTGCTCGTTTTTTTTTTCGTTTTTGGTTTATTTTACAGAGAATATGACTACAGGCATTATCTAGTGTAAATAAATTCGGCCTGCTCCGCGATCCGATTTTGCATTTTTAAAATCTGGATAAGTTTTGAAAAAAATTGTGGTATTCAAAACATTAATTCAAATCCTTTGAATTTATTGTTATAAAATATTTTTAGCAAATTTGGATAACATATGACGTAAAAAAGTAGAAAAAAAAAACATAATTATATAAGGCTTTCCGGCAAGTGTATGTAAGCAGTTGTTTGCAAAACTAAATCGAAGAATTAATTTTTAATTAAATGTACAAGCTAGCCACAAAACACAGATCGAAAAAGTGGAAATGACATTTCCCTCATAAATTTGAGCATTAATACAGTCTTTCATAATTAGACCTAGGAGATGATTTTCATGTATTAAAAGATTATATTATAACAAATACGGACTGAACAGCAGCAATTTTTTTTTAATCTACAACCTTATTATTGTACAAATATGAAAGTTGCATTCTATTTATCTAATTAGTGTATGCTTTTTTTGTTGATCATATTAAGTACTCCGAGTAATTACAAATACACTCAAATATTTTTTTTAAAGATTCTTTACCCAAGTATACATGTATACTTTTTGGCAAGTTTGGCTGAAATTGGACCAGTGGTTTTTGAGAAGAGTAAAAAATAAACAAAAAGTTTAATTACAGACAGACAGCTTAACACATGGACGCCTGAAAATATGATCAGAAAAGCTCACTTGAGCCTTAGGTTCAGATTAGCTAAAAAATACAATTATAAATTGTACATTACAAACTCTGAACCTAAAGCTCTTAACATGTTATTAATAACGTATTTTAACAACCAGTTAAAGACCGAGTTTAGCTATTGATGAATAATTTTCAACGGTTCCCAAACATTATGAAAGAACAAAGATAATCCTCTCATTATCATGTTACGACTGATGAAGTTTTCTAAAGCTTCGAATACATGCACTACTGTCAAAAACTTGTCAATTTTTAATTAGGTATATAGATAGCCAGTCTATCCAGTAACAAGAAAGGATATGACCAAGAAGTATGCCAAAATAATTATACTTTTTTCTTTTATGTTAAAAAAATTATAGACGCCAAAATTTGACTCAAGACTAGTCTCTAAACTCCACTCTAAGACTCCAGTCAATGAATTACACGGTGCCATCAAATTAACTCGAAAGTATTTTTTTTTTAATTCTAAATTCTGTTGATCCTGCATTGTAAATATTTTAACTAGGTAAGTTTCGAAAAATATTGAGAAACACCAAAAAAAAAAAATATGTTCTTCTTTTTTTTAAAAATCATTTAAATGCATGCTCCTAACTCTCTCATACTGTAAAGTTGACAGAGTACACGCTAATTGATAGGCAATCGGTTAATCGGTTATATATTTCAAATGATAACAAGTTATAGCTATTTAATTTATAAACTAATCAAACAATGCAATCTAAACAATATGTGGATATACCATGATATCAGTAATTTCAGAAAACGTTTAAATGTCATTAACAATGCACCTTTAAATAGTTATTTCTTCCGAGAATTCAAAGCGAAAGTAGGAAGTATATTTTGACAATTAAGCGCAGTATTTGTCAGACATAAAAATCTCTCCTCAATGTTTGAGCGTATTTCTTCTTTAACTGGTAAGTTTTCAAAATAGAAATTACTTAAGGCCAAATAACTATTTCAACATTTAATGTTATAATTATACAAGTATTCTGTAAAATATATATTTTACATAATAATGTGAATATATTTTTTTTTCACAAAAACATTTACAAAGAAATTTTAAAATGTGAAATATGTCAAGATGATTTATTTGGAGATGTCGAAATGGACTTTTACGAGAAGCACTGACTTTTACAGTTGACTGTTTACTTGGACATTTTAATATTCACATCTACGGAGGTACAGAATTGATAAAGGAAAAGAAAACCTTTATAGTGGTCATGGTAATGATGCTAGGGGCATTTGTATGTGAAGGCCTGGATTGAGGAAGGATGGTTGACGTTTTCTTCAAGGACAACTTATCTGTGCTTTTAAATAGCTCGTTATTTTCGTTGAATTAATTGTTGAGCTAAATTATTTTATTATATGATTGAATATTTTCCATCTCTGTGATTGGCTGAGATCCAACTATGTTAGAGAAATACTACGTTGTATTGACCTGCACGTGACGTTCCAGATCAATACAAGGATTTATTTCCTCTACATTGATCTAAAAATAGATCAGGAAATTCCAAATTGATACAAATTGTTTTAGAAATCTATTTAAACGACTATGACTTTTTTTTAACATGTGAATAAAAGATAAGCGAATATATATTTTTGGGTGATGGTGGTAAGAGGGGATGCAGGGACACCCCTCCAATACTTTTACTGAAGAACAATTTTTACTGTTTTCCCTGATAACAATCTTTACTGTTTTCTCTGATAATACTCCTTACTTTGAAAATCTATAGTATAAAAAAAAGACTGACATTATATTTTTTTTCATGGCAACTAAAATTGATAAAAACTTCAAATTGATACGATAGGTAAAGGTTATTTACATTTTAATTCTGCTTCTCTTTTGTATTTGGCTAGGACTTAAAAAAATAACTGTATCATTTTATCAGTGAATCATATAATAAAACAATTATTGCTGTTTTTTCGGTCAATACAATGATTTAGCTATCTTCGAAGTACAATATTCACCTCGCCCTCCGGGCTCGGTGAATATTGTACTCCTCAGATGGCTAAATCATTGTATTGACCTCAAAAACAGCAATAATTGTATAATATCGTAAAAGAGCTCCCCTACACTGTCCTAGTGTGAGAGTAATTCGTCAACCGTAAAAGTCAGTGCTTCTCGTAAAAGTCCACAAGAGATGTTCAACATCAAGTGCACGAACACATTTTTTTTTTGAAATTGAAAGATTTGCTTTGGGGGGGGGGGGGACAGGGAGGTCAACATTACCGCTACATTGCCAAAAATTTCAACCCTTCCCCCCACTGTTTTCCATACCTCAAAGGTTCTTTGACCTTTTATAAATGATATATTTCAATGATTATTCACAAAGTATTACAACTGAGAAAGCTAGCCTTTTATAAAAAAAAAAAAACATACTCTCTATAAGTTTTATGCTTGACAATAAGTTTACCTTTAACAAAAATATGTATTGATTTTTTAAAAGTCTGCATTTAAGACATGTTTACTTACTCAACCAACTTCACGGTTATTGAACATTAGACATATATACTAAGTATATATATACCTTATTTAGCAAATTGAATTAAATATTTTATATAATGTTAAATATGGAGATCAAGGCAAGAAAATAATGATTCAGGATTGAGGTAACTTGATTTTGATTACAGTTTGTTTATTAAAAAAATATATAAATGAAAAAAAATCGTTTAAATGAGTTGGGTAATCTGTAAAATCTATAAAGTTACCTTAATTAAAAAAAGACCAATATTTTTTCCTTTAAATATAGACGAATTTAGAAGCTTTTCAAAGCTAAAAAGAATGTAAATCTTTACTTTGAGGTTCGTATATGTCACAATTACATCAAGTTGTGGAATACATAATAACCAAAATGACTATATACTTGGGTCGTTCAAAATCTTGCAAAATGCTTATTTTTCATAATAAATCCCACAATGGCAAACGATAACGATAATATATTGATATCACAGACACGTGACGTTACTTATTTTTCTTTTTATAAAAAAATAACCCCAAACCTAACAATGGACAATGTTCGTATTATTAGGTATGTTTGGGTTAATTTTTTTTTATTTTATAAGAGAAAAAAAAAAAGTTATGTCAGGTGTCTGTGCTTGATATAAACCATTATTTAGTAAATATATTAAACATTAAAACAGTGCTGACTATTTTATCCAATTTTATGTGTAAATTCTTTGTATATGCAAGGCGCAAGATCCAATGTGACCCTAAGTTTATGATATTAAACGTCAAAATATGGATTTTGAATTTTTATCACAGGTTTATGCAGTGTGAACACACGCTGAATTTTCTATGATGCCATATTACCAAGTGTATGCAAAATAGTTTATGGTTAGACGATAAAATTTCAAGCAATATGCACAATAATTTACGAGCGTTATCAATATACGAGGGTTGTCCCGTAAAATCGTAGAAAAGTTGTCTAGTTTGAAAAATAACCATCACTGCGTTATGAAAATGTCACGACTCTTTAGTACATATATTATAAATATACAGAGCTTTCAGATAGATACATGCATAAATAAAGAAATTATTAGATTTTATGTTATGTATTGTATCGCCCTACGGCGCACGGATGATAACGTCAAAGTGTCTAAAACAAGCGTCACGTTTCATCTTTGCTTAAAATAAAGTTGGATAAGTCCCACTTAAATTTAAAAATTCCATTGATTCACATACGTGCGTGTCTATAACCAGTTTAGGAACTAATCTTGCACAAACATGCAATCTTCTAAAGATTTATTATGAAGTTACGGACAGTATTCTCACCATCAGTCAAGCAACAGACAATTTCATATCAACGGTCGACAGTGACAGTATCTTTTGCTGTTACAGTAGCAGTTTGTCCGTATAATTTGTACTACCTGTGGACTCAATCAAAAGGACTTTGCTTAGAAAACTTATATACTAAAGATCTGGTGATATTTGTCACATTCTCTTTCTTCTGTAATCATTTAAAGTCTCTTAAAGTGTCATTACAACACCCTAATCTAAGGGAACTGCTCTCCGTGAGTGTTAAATAATCCCTAACGCGCGCACATGGCTATGTACAATATATAGCCATTGTGTAAAGTACACAAAAAACAATTCTTCTTCTTGCATAATATATAAAAATATACTGTACTGTTACAATATTTTTTTTCCTATTACACTAGAATATCTCTATAGGATTTAATTTCTTTGTATATCATGAATCTTATAAGTTTTTGGTAAATAAAAACACGGGGGACTTTGTACATCCCCATTGTAATGATTGAACTCTTTCAGAATATGTGACATAAACTTGCCGTGATAGAATTCACCAATAGTTCATAAACATGAATCCATTTTGTATTCCACATGCAGATCAAGGTAAGTATCTAAGGTAAATTTTTGCAATATACCGTATAAGTGGAAATTTTAGCGAGACGCAAATTTAGAGATTTCTCCTTAAAAATTGGTATTTGATTTTTAGCGAGAAGTAGTTTTAGCGATTTTAAGATATTCATTTAAGAAACTATTACAAATAAAACGCAATTAATTTTTATTTTTAGCGATATTTAATTTCAGCGATCCCAGCACCCTCGCTAATAATGTCAAATTCAAATCCTTGCTAAAATGTCCACTTCAAGGTATATATATTAGATTAACATAATAAACCTACCGAATGTAAACTTCATAAAGTATTTATAAAACTAAATATATGTATACGATTGGGTGATCAAAAACTCGCAAACAGTCTCTATATTTACAAAACGACAATTTAGATCAGTCGTAGACATGTTCTATAAACTTCAGATTAAATGTTATGTTTTTCTTCATGTTTATATGTCGATATATGCGAAAATAACGTCAGTATGTACATGTAAAAGACTTGTAAAGACAGTGATTTTATCTGTCGAGCTCGAACATGAACATTCTTTTGCAGTATAGTAAAAAGAAATGTAAGATGAACAAGATTTGAAGACAAAGAATTTAATTTGCTAGATAAGAAAGATTGTTTGATTGATTGTACGTTTTTTAACGTCCCTGTCAAGAATTTTTCACTCATATGGTGACGAAACCACTTGCCGATGGAGAGCTGCAAATTTTGTCCTATACTCAGGGCCATTGAACACTTGGGAATCTTTTTCTTGCCAGCACTTACTGCGACACGGGGCCTCGGTTTATACGGTCTCATACGAAGGACCGGTCTCCACGTCCCGCAGTGGAATGAGATCCTGCGACGTAAGGATCGACTCCCCACTCCGAGTCTCTAGAGCAGACGCTCTAACCATTATGCCATGTGGGAAGAGAGGTGGTTAAAATGCTGTTTGTTCTGGCTTCGGTGTCATAAACCCTGGCACTTCCTTTTGTTAAAGTGAGACTGAGATCAAAAGTAAGCTTGTCGGAGTTATATTGCCTTTGAGCCTGGATTGTTACATGTGTAAATGTGTATTTTATACAATATAATTAATCCATTTAATTCCCAAGGTATATATTTATTCCACATTTTATAAATAACACGTGCTAGTCTGGGGAGTTGGATTGTAATTGTCGCAAAACTTATATAATTCTAAATAGAAAAAGCCTTATCAAACCATTTTTCTGCCAAAGGTCGGCAATCCATGATAAATAAAAGATTTTGAACATAAAAAAACCATAAGAAATACCGTATGACTCGAAAAACCTTTTAGCTACAGTGAACAGTACGCTACGGGATGTCCAGTCATGGCCGCTTGATCTCCTGAGCAGAACTATAGCGCATTACAATAGAAGGGTATATTGTACAGTGTACTAATTTTTACAATAATATATTAAACGCTGAAACCTTATTGTACTTCTTTCAGGGAAGTAATTTCATACATTCGAATTTTTTTTCACCCCTCGTATATATGGCTTTATACATTATATATTTTAAAAATTTAAATGAAAGCAATAAACAGTAGACATTCGTTCATTTCCTTTCACAGTCTAAATGATGTTGCAGTTTTGACTTGTGAAAAACATTATATAATTGTAAATAATTTCCAACTTTTGTTCATATGTTAGAAGATCTTGAAACACATAAATCATATAGTCATACTCTGGTCATTTTTCGATTGTCAGTGATGATGTTTTTTTTAACTTATTTAGTGGGGCATATTGCTTTGTTTCAACTGCAACAATTCAAAGAAAGAGCTAAAGAATGTCTGAGGCATGAAGACTTTGGTAACGCTTTTCATTATTACAATGAGGCTGTGAAGCATTGCAATGTGTTCGCCCATTTTCCGAATGTCCAGGAAGAACAGCCGAAACTTCTCAGCAATCGTTCAATGGTTTTAAGTAAAACTGGACACTTTGAATTGGCTTTAACGGACGCTCAACAATGTATTGGAATGAAACCTTTTTGGGAAAAGGTGATCTCTTTAAATAGAAGTTTAGTTAACACACTTTCATTTGTATAAAATTGTTATAAAAACAAGGAATCTGATTGAAAATTTAATTTTCATTTGTTTCTCCTATCCTTCAAATATATAAGGTAGACCACTATTTTTGTTTTAGGGATATTGGCGGGCTGCTACTGCCTACAAAGGTTTGAACAATATGTATGAAGCTCTGAATATGTTGATACAAGGCTACAATGCGACACTACCCCAGCGTAATCAAGGCATTATAATTGATTTCCTACAGGAAATCATCATCACAATCATTGACCCTCTTGTGAACAGATATCAAGGTATTTTAAATGAACAAAGAGAAATTATCATGATAGCATATGTGTAATATATATGTCTTGAAATTCTCGAATTCTTGAAACATGTCTAACGGGAAATGAAAAGAGGTATGTTTTCACCGGGAATGGAACCCGGTGATACTTAATTGCATCACTAGTCAAGCGCTCTACCAATTGAGCTTCCTAGGCAGATACATGTATTTATGAACTAATAAGTTGAACTAGCACCTCGATAAAAGATGGCATTTATAGATGACACTATAGAAATGAGCTGTACATGTAAGCCATCGACAAACAAGTTAATGAAACAAGAATATATATAAGCTCGTTTAAAGTCAAAATTTTTGCTGTTTTATTGCCAATATAATGGCTTTATCAGCAAATACAATCCATCATGAAGTCAATTTTATAGGTTTTTACAGACATTATGTATGGATTTGTATATTATCAAGAAATTTGAATCCGTTATTTATCTATAGAAACATTTAGTCCAATTTAATTTGTATCAGATGGATAATTCACGGAAGACCATACAAGACCTTTAAAAATATTTTTGAAATTTGATATAACTAATCGTTGAATTTGTTATAACGAATTTAATTCATAATAACAATTTCTTTGAATTTGTTATAACGATATTAATCTCTTATAACAAATTTGTTGCATTCATTATAACGAATTCTTTAATTTATTATAACGAATTTATTTCGTTAAAACGATTTCAAAATTTTTTTTATAACAGATTAAATTCGTTTAGACAAATTCTAAAGTTTGTTATAACAAGTTAAATTCGTTTAAACAAATTCCAAAGTTTGTTGTAACGAATTAAATTCGTTTAATAGAATTCAATCATCAGGGATCAATATAAATTATATGAATTCGATATAATGATGTGTTCGTTTTAACGAATTTAATTCTTTATAACAAATTATGAAATTCGCTTAAACGAATTTAATTCGTTAGAATAACAAGTTTTAGAATCTGTAAAACCGAGTTTGATTCGTATTAACAAAGTTTTGAATTCATTAGAACGAATAAAACATATTTGTTTTAACAGATTAAATTCATTAATACAAATTCAAAGAAATTGTTATAACGAAATATTTACTTTCGCGGTGTTTCTCTACTAAGCCAACAGTGAAAATCATTTGAATAACATTTGTGTGTCATGACGTCACAACGAAGCTGAGGAAACGTTAGTAAAAATGCAAAGATGTAGGGCAGCGAGAAATTCAAATACTGAGTATATTTTAGGTGCTTCCAAACATGTTAAATGTAAATATAAGGTCAGGAATGTTCTCCAGTTTAGAGTGAGTTATTGGTGTGTGAATCACACATAACAGACTTGCACATAAGCATATTTTTCATGAAGGGCTAGCGCGCTTCATGAAATATGCCTACATGTACGTGAAAGTCTTTGTGATTCACACACCAATAATTCACTCAAAACTGAAAAACATTCCTTAATTAATTTGGTTATAACAAATTCGACAATACGTCATATCGGATTCAAACATATTTTTCAATAGGTCCTAAATAGGCCTCTGATACCCTGATTGATGTGCGGATTTTTTCAAGTAATGTCATTATTGAGTTAAACTTTGTATTTAAATTGTACCATCCACCCCCTTGAAAAGCGGTATGGTACGTCCCCCGTCTGTACGTCCGGGCGTCCGTAGTTCGTCCGTCTATACATGTTGGTATAGGTCCGTCTATCTGTCTGTAACGTTTTGGGGTACCCATCTCTTATCCACAACTCCTCTAATACCAATGTATGTTTACTTAAACATTAATATTTGGTGAAGCATGGGATACGTTAAACCAACTTCTATTCGCGACGACTTTATTTTGCGATTTACCGAGGGTAAACTAGTTCGCGACGATTTATTTCCGCGATCAAGCCTTTTTGGAACTGTTTTAGTAGAAAAAGAGACTTTGAGGACGCGTTCGCGGCGAGAAATATTCACGATGACGAGGCTCTCGCGAACGTCACCCAAATTTCTTGCACACGAATAAAAGTAGGTTTACTGTTTGTTATATGTAATTTGTTACTTTTTTTATTTCGTAAAATATACATGCCACTCTTCATACGTATCGCGAGTTCAACATCACTGTTTTTTTTAAGTAAAATAATATTTTATTCATACTAGATAATTATATACATATTTTTAAAACGATATGCTGTTATAACTAAGAATATTTCACTATTTAAAGGAAAATTAAAACTCCCTTTATCTAGGTGATTGCTATTTCCTTTTGGCTAACTTGGAACATAACATTGAGTCCCTCGGCGCCGAAGTTCAAGAGAAAATTTTACAACGATTGGCAAGCAGTCAACAATGGGAAGGCATTAGTTTGCTTGTCACAGGAGTACACAGAGGCCCGGAGAGTTTTCTGGATTATTCGTTTACGAACGTTTCTGCAGAGAAAATTTCGGTAGGCTGTCTTTTGAAAGATCTCTCCATCACTGATTTAAAAGGATATGGGATGCAACTTGCTGCAGCGCTTCTAAAAAATGGTGCTTCTTATCAAGATATCGAATTAAAGTGGGGTTCCCCTGTTCTTCATGTCGTGCTTGTTAAAACATTGGAAACTGGTATATTTTTCATGTACACATTAATTATCATAATGACAATTTTCTTTTGTATTTTGCGATTAAAGTTGGATCTACTTCTACGGATATTGCACATAAATGAAAAATGTATTAAGTCAGAAAAATCAAATTTTCACATAATTCTTAATAATATATTGTCAGGGAACGAGGAGCTGATGAAATTGATCTTGAGGAAATATTTGGACACCCAAGACAAAAAGAACGTAGTTGATACATATGGTCATTCAGCTCTTCACGTCATAACTCAGTTTAGACCTTGTTGCGATGAAAGGAATAAGTTATTGTCAATTTGTATTGAATCGGGTTGCAACGCTTTTATTTTTGACAAATCTGAAAAACTTTCCATAGACTACTGTGAACCGAATGACAAATGCTTCGAATCTTTATCAAGAATATTTGGGGATACTGGTTTGTGGAATAACTATTTTATATCTCTAATACATATATAAATTCTAGTGTTTTATGTCTTCAAATCATTGTAAATCACAGATCTTTTAAACTTTCTGCGAAATTTTCAAATTAAAACATGCACTAACACATTAAAACGACAAATTTCTCTCTTAGACTGAAATTTCACTATTTCTTTTAACCAGATACTGTTCGAAAACATGTTGTCGGACTCAAAGAGAAAGGAAATACAGCAAAGGAGGAGAAACAATACGAACAGGCTCTCCTTTATTATAGCAGAGCCATAAATTTGTCCACGCGATGTGACAGTTTACAAAGAGACAGCGCTATGCTTTATACCAACAGATGTACAGTTTACTCGGAACAAAACAATCTACAAGAAGCCATAAAAGACGCGGAGTTGGCAATCAAAATAGACAACACATGGATAAAGGTAATGAATTTCGAAAGATATTATCGATTCTTTAGTATGATAGCTTTTTACACTTTTGCTTTGCAGCATCATGTGATTATCTATTTAATCATTATTCGGGCAAAATTTTATAACTTATTCAAAATAAAAAAAACCCCTAAAATAGCATACAAAAAAATATTATTGTGTCAAGATACGTGTATGCTCATATCAAGGGCATTCACATGTCTTTCCTTAGACATTCCTAAAAACCGGTGATGAAAATATTCAAAGACCATTTGAAGATTTCTTTAAAAATGTTGTTTCAAATATTGCAAAACCTATGTTGAAGTTTATTATTTCGATTCTTCTGTTTCCAAACCATATTGAACTAGGGCTAATTGTAACGGGAACCGTTACAGATGTTCCCCAAACGCTCCCCAACTCCCTTTTGTGGCATATTTTCTGTACGCTTCATTAAATAAGACAAACACGATGCATTTTAGACTTTAACATTATTTACCCAGAAGTATATCAAGTTTATTCAAATTTCAGCATTGCACGCATGCACATTTGAATGCATGTGCGTAATGACCATATCATCTTGTCTACACTATTCGTATATTTTAATATACTAAATATTACAACATTTATTCCATACGTATCTAAAAATATGTTTAATCCAGTGTATTTGTAATTTTACTCATTTCACGTGCACGCACGTGCATGCATGTGCATCATGATCATACACTACTGTAGGAGCCCATAATGTCTATCTATGTTCTGAATCCCATTCTTTTTGATTGAAAAATAAGGAAATTAAAGCCATTTAAAGTTTCAGCCAATCAAATTGCAGCGAACGTGCATGCGCGTGATTTCATGACAATTATTATACATCATATTGTAGGACATCCTAAAGCATGCCTATGATTTAAATTTCAAAGCATTTCTTCAAAAAACAATAAAGATATTGAAAATTTTGTTTCAGCCAATCAGAACAAAGCGCACGTTCATGCACGTGCCTGCATGTGCATGATGGCCATACCCTTTTGTAGGAGTCCATAATGTCTATCTATCTTCTGAATCCCATCCTGTTTGGTTTAAAAACAAGGGAGTTATCGCTATTTAAAGTTTTAGCCAATCAGATTGCAGCGCACGTGCATGCGCGTGCTTTCATGACAATTGTTATATATCATTTTGTAGGACATCCTAAAGTATGCCTATGTTTTGAATTTCAAAGCATTTCGTCAAAAAACAGAAAAGATATTGAGATTTTTGTTTCAGCCAATCAGAGCGAAGCGCACGTGCATGCGCGTAAGTTCGTGCTAATTTGACAGTGTCACATTATCTACACTATTAATATATCATTATATAATGAGTTTCAAGTCAATTCATTAAAAAATGTAAAAGTTATAGCTATATTAAGTATATCAGTCATTTCACTCATATCACGCGCACGCACGTGCACGCGTATGCGCGCAAAATGACCTTCGTTCCGCACACCTACACTACACACCCATTAACCCTAAAAAGGTTTTAGGTCAGTTGGGTGAACAGTTTCTGAGAACACTTCCGGACAAAAAAGTACCGGAGAACAAATAAGAAAAAAAAGAATAATAATAATAATAATAATAATAATAAGAAACCGAGTAAAAACAATATGTTCCCAAACTCCGTTTGGGGAACATAATAAGACAAAAAAAAATATCAAAAATAGGTAAACGGGTAAAAACAGACACAAAAATATCTCGTAGATCATATTTACAGGTACTTCTTTCTTTGAAAACTAATGAAGAGCTACAAGGTACTACATAAGCGTATATTTCTCCACATGACCAGTTGATCATGATTAAATATGATTATCGGACACTGTTTTAATTTTACTAAGTTTGGTTCTAAAACATTATTTTACATAATAGATGTAGCAGCGTGTGTGAAAAACGTTTTCTTTACTTCATGAACATAAATTAGGAAGCCAGATTGGAGAAGAATGAACATCCAAATCTAATAAGATTTATGTGAATTTTAATCTGAAATTGAAATTAAAAAAGTGCATGAGTTTTAAATATTTATTGAAATACATTCTCTTGTTTCAATTTCATTAAATATTCCCAGTATTACACGTTATATTTTATTATTGTATATGTACGCGGTAAATGGATTATTAAACAATTAAATATATCCATAGGGTCATTGGAGGAAAACACAGTTGCTTCGAAGAATAGGACAGAACTTAGAAGCCTTTTCCGCTGCTGTTGTAGGACTAAGTATATCCGAGGTTGCCCAGAAAGAAAAATGTGAACTTGTCGTGGAATGTGTAAAATCATTTCAATACCTTACTGGTAGGAAAACGAATATTATTTTTTTGAATTTTAAATAATTTCAATACTTTCTGGAAAAAATACGAATGGTAATTTTGAACTTCATTAAGATTAAAACAAAATTATTTTCGTGTTTTTTCCTAATATTTTTATATGATACTATAAGGAAATTATTCAATGTTTTTTTTTCTAATTTCATGCAACTACCAGATTCAGAAAAGAAGGAAAAGTATACTACCTTCTCAGACATCCCAGTTCAATTTTGGCCTTCTGTGTTGCAAAAACTCAGCAAGGAAACAGAATGGTTATGCATAAAACAATTGGTTTTGGGAATAGAACAAAACAATGATGGTATTTTATTAGTCTATTCTTTCGTAAGATTTTCTTAATTTTTATACGTATTATATTGATGTCTATATAATTTCAAAATCATTGATTACTCCAGAAGTAAAAGGTATCGCCAGGGATACAGACTTCAGCACGATAAGATACGATAATCTTTTTGCATTCATCATTGGACAGCACAATTTAGAGACTGTTAGCTCTTGGATTGTTCCCCTTATTATACATATAACCACAAAACCAGAAGGAAGCAACAACTTAATGAGGTTCAAAGAGTGGGAAGGCGACACACCATTACATGCAGCAGCAAAATTCTCGATCCTTACTGGTTTGTTAAATTCATTTATTTTTAAAATACCGTTTCATGCAAATTGTAATGCATTTGGCTGAAGATAATAGTCATTATTCTGTCTCTCTGGTAGTGCTTTTTATGTGTTAGCAGTTTGCAGGGGTGCATGAATATGTTACATGTTTTTGATCTAATAGAAAGAAACATATGGAGATAACGAACAGTATTCCAGATCACAAGATGGAGTAATAATAGGCCCAGGGGCCACATCGCTCACCTGAGCACATCGGCTATCTAGGAAAAAGCACACATCAGATCAGAATTGAAATGTTTACTGAAGGGCCGGGGGTTGAGGGGCTTGAATTCTAATACTACCTGAGAATGCCTCCATATCAATTCTACATACAACTCCTTGAGGAAGTTCTTGAGAAAAAAAAGATTTTCTTATAGAATTTTTTAAAAACATTTTGTTTGTACATATTATTTTGTAATAATTTGAATTTTACCCTCCTGTTGTTTCTCCCCTACCCCAAAGGGTACTCATGATTTGAACAAATTTAAGTAATCAATACATGAGGATGTTTACATGTCAATATGACTTACATACTGTGAAATCATTTTAATTGTGGGGTGCCAATGTTCGTGGGTGAGCAAAATTTGACCAGTTCACGCGGACATAATTTTGTGGGTCACTCGCAAATACAGTGATTTAATGAACCAATATGCTAACAAATATAAACGTTCTAGGGGATGTGAATTCAAGGGTAAGGGTGACCCACGAAATCCACGAGCACTGGAACTACGTACAATGCAGATTCTACAGTAGCTTTTCTGTTATTGAATTTTTCCCTTTACCAGTATTTTCCTAATATGTAAAACATTGATCCACCATTGAGACCCTTCTCTACCCTAAGAGGTTATGATTTGAACAAATTTAATTATACGCTACCTACCTTAGGATGCTTCCATATAAATATAATATCACTAATCGTGGCTTTGCTATTCTTTGAAAAACGATGAATTTCCCATGTATTTTTTTTTAAGTGTGACCGACCATTGTAGCTCCACCCTACCTCCGGGATTCATGATTTGAATAAACTTGAATGTACACTATCTGAGGATGATTCAACATGAATTTCATCTTTCCTGTCCCTATGGATCTTGAGAAGAAGATTTTTAATGACTTTTCCTACATATTAATATGTAAAAATCGTCCATTGTGGCCCCACCCTACCTCGGGGGGTCATGATTTTTAAAAAAAAATTAATGTTCTTTACCTGAGGATGATTCAACTTGAGTTTCATCTTTTCTGTCCCAATGGTTCTTGAGAAGAAGATTTTTAAATATTTTTCCTTCATATTCATATGTAAAAATGTGATCACCCATTGGGGCCCCACCCTGAACAAACTTGAATGTATACTACCTGAAGATGATTCCACATGAGTTTCATCTTTCCCGTCCTTATGGATCTTGAAAAGAAGATTTTTAAAGATTTTACCTAATATATTCTAATGTAAAAATTTGATCACTTATTGTGGCCCCACCCTACCCCGGGGTTTCATGATTTGAACAAACTTGAATGTACACTGCCTAAGGATGATTCAACATGAGTTTCTTCTTTCCTGTCCCTATGGATCTTGACAAGAAGATTTCTATAGATTTTTTTTTTTTATAAATTCCAATGTAAAAATTTTATCAACCATTGTGACCCCACAGCACCCTTGGAGGTCATGATTTGAACAAATTTGAATGTACATTAGAATGATTACATACGAGTTTCATATTTCCTGGCCTAGTGTTTCTTTGAAGAATTTTTTTTATATTGCCATTAATTTTTCACTAATTCATAGTTATATCCCCTTGGAAGAGGACATGGCCCTTCATTTGAAAAAAAAAAACTTGAATCCCCTTTACCCAACAATACCTTTTACCAAGTTTGCTTGAAATTGGACCAGCGGTTCTTGAGAAAAGATGAAAATGTGAAAAGTTTACACAGACGCCAACGACAACAACGACACCAACGACAACGACGACAGACAACGGACAAATTTTGATCAGAAAAGCTCACTTGAGCCTTAGGCTTAGGTGGGCTAATAAAAACAGAATACTGAAGGATTCTATAACATGCCAATGTCTACCATGACACGTGTACGCGATCTGATATTTCAATGCCAGCGCAATTTCCAATTCTAATGCCTTGCACTTGGAGAAAGGAAATTTTAACACTCGGAAGATAATCTACCCCACGCCTCTCGATCATGAAACAAAATGTTTTTTTACCATAATGCTTCTGAGACAGACTCAAAATTAAACAAAATTAAGCGTGACCTCACGGCCTGGGGTCTCTGTGAGGTAATGCACTACTGATTTTTGCTGATTATTACTGATCAATTGAATTTAGTGCTGTCAAATCGGACAATTTTTAGTAACCGGTTACTCGATTAATCTTCCGACCGAGTATCCGGTTACTCGGATGATATTTCGTAAAAGTATACATATCTATTATTCAATAATTATCCAATTCTTTACTCATCTGTAGTAGTAATACACAAATACACTGAATATAAACATTATTTACAATGCACACAATAAATAAAGAATTTTGAGTTAAGATTAAAGAAAATGCATAATGCACTCTATAAAAATAAATTTATAGTCGTCAGTCACCATTTTACAATGGCTTTCGTTAAGTGTCCTTATTCAGTTTCCAATATATTGTAATCAATTAGAATAATGATTTACATACTCCGTAACTACTGTATAATTTGTGAAATTTCCAGTAAATCGCTTGTTTTCAAATAATATTTTTAGCTTAGGTGATTTAATAGATTTTAAATCAGCTGTATTTTTGATATACTTCCAAGCTTAATATTGTTTCGGCGACATCACGTTAAATTATTAATTGCGGTAATTATAACTCAAGTCTTCAGAACTTGTATGACCCATACACTCAAAGCTATCAATTATATAAACTGTACAAACTAATCAATACATGTCGATCCACTAGGTCTAGCCTAATGGTACCTAAAATTAGAGAAATGTATTAGTCTTCATTTTTCAGACAATATTACATTCACTTTCTTTGTAATCACTATGTAAAATGTATTTTATCCGTCGAGTAACAAATTGCAGTTTTACCAACCCATTCTCGCATCGTTCGACAGTTAACTGGTTAACCAGGAACTCGTTTACATCACTAGTTAAAATGCTTTTGTTTTGTTCTCCTCCTCTGTCTATAGGTATTGAATAACCAAACAAAGCATGCTACGTTAGTGTATGTTGAGCAATGATGCCTCTTTCAAAAAATGTGAATGTCACGGCACCTTGTTTAAAATACAAACCAAATTCAATTATTGAAGCGACAAAACCCTATATTTTTTTTTGTTTACATGTACATGTTATAGGAAATGCTGCACTTTTGAGATACATGGAGGAGATTTCAAAGAAGGTGAATATTTATGATGGTTTAAAGAATTCGCCGCTTCATTCCATTGTGAAAATGCCTAGACCATCCCAAATCGACATTTTCCCAGAAGTTGTCGAAATGCTACTCCACTTTGGTGTTTCAGCTGATCTGCTTGATAAAGAAGGGAAAACCGCTGTAGACTACATTGATCAGGCCAAATATCCTAGAATATTTGAAATTCTGGAAAGAAAAAGTAATGGTATTCTCTTAGTATTATAATGGCAATGTTTTGCTTTTAATTGAAATTGTTTTACTTAATCAAATATTTTTTCTCTGTATCTCTTTTTCTTTCACGTATTTGTTATGTTTTTAGAATTAAAAGCACCACAAACTGATGAGGAAAGCAGCGAAAAAAACTCTCAGATGACTGAAAACAACCAAGGAAAGGGATCAGTGTTGACAAGCTCAAATCGTGGGAAAGACCGATCTATAAAACGAGAAATAACCAAAAATACTGCAAATCCTCAACACCAAGAACAAGTTAAAACATGTGATAGCCTTTCTTCCAATAACACAACAGAATTGGTAACAAATGAATTTGAAACATCAAAGAACGAAGGTGATAGAATGTTCAAAGAAAGAAAATACGAGTCCGCGTTGAAATCATACAGAAAAGCAAAGGAGTTCATGAAAATCGCCAAAGACAGTGAAGTCATTTCAATATTTTGCAAGATGGCAGATTGTTATCTTAATTTTGAGCAATTCAAAAAGATCATTGAAGAAAGCAAGCATTTTATATCATTCCTTGGAAACTCTTTCCAGGTCTGTATATGTACGTCATTTCCAACTAAAAATTTGCACATATATGTCTAACAAAATTTAATCGTTTCTTATCAAACTTTTTTAATAAGCAAGTGCATGAATATTTATCTATTTCATGATTTATTGAATATGTTTTAGGCTCAATTTAGAATCGGTAAAGCCTATGCTGGTCTACGGCAACATAGTGTAGCAGTTAAAACATTCTGTATTGCATACGGCTTGACAAATGCAAATCACGATGATTTACTATATGAACTCGCCAAAACCTACACAAGCTGTAACTTTAAAGGTATGAATATACATTTATCAGCTATATTAAAAATTGTGTTGAAGGTTATTTTTAACAATTTTTATTTATAGGAATGACCTGTCATTTTTTATAATATGATTTTTTTTTACCTTGAACAATGTTAAATGTTATCGCCACATCTTTCTTTACACTCATTACTATAATGAAAAATCATTGATATTATCCGACGTAAAAATCTAAATACATGTAACTTTTCTCATAATGGACTTTGACGTGAAGCGCTGACTTTTACAGTTGACGGCTTACTTTTACACAAGCAAAATGTACAGAATCCATTTTACGATATAAATATTTAGATCAACATTTAATCAGACGAAAATAAAGTATTTTTTAATGCACATATAAGTTGTCCTTGAAGAAAACGACAACCACCCTACCCTCAACTCCTGGTTTTCACATGTTAGTGTCCCTAACACCATACCTATGTCCACTGTAAGGTGATCTTATTTATTATCAATTCTGTACTTCCGTACATGATATAAGTTAAAATGTCCAAGTAAACCGTCAACTGTAGAAGTCAGTGCTTCTCGTAAAAGTCCTATAGTCACCACTGAACTCAACACATTTTTTATGGCACTTTTACCCGTCATCAAAAATATGCAAACACTATTCTGGATTTATGCGTGAAATAATATTTAACACTACTTGTCTAAGGTAGTACAAATCATCAAACCTATGTCCGCGTAAAATCGACTTTATTTACGGAAATACATGTATACGGGTCAGTCACAATACGAAATTTATTTCACGGACTTTGAAATTGAATATACTGCAGCACTGTTATTAAGATCTTCCTTAACGGACGATCTTGTTGTTTTCGTTCGATTTCTTTTTCCCTATCATTATTCTTTTTTCTTACCGATTTTTGCCCGCGAGTTCTCGGAAATGGCTCAACACATTTTCACCAAACTTTCAGATCTGATAGATATTCATCTGAGCCTTGTCGGAAACGTTAGTCGTCGATGACGTCACGTCCGGTCGTGAGAGATGGACGATTTTCTGATCTTTAGGGGGTCGGCTTGTCCTGGAAACTAGCTCCTTTCGAAACAACTTAAGATATTGCGTCAAGATTTTCAGTGGAAGTAATGTAAGGTTTGTTGAGCTACAGCAGGCGTCCAAACCTTTCTAGTACAAAAGGCGCCGAGGCTTGGTAGAGCCCAAAAATGTTTCGGAAACTTCTCACAAAATTTAACATCCTTTGTTTCATATCTACGTATCTATTCATAATTTGTTAAAACAAAATAAAGAAAAGTTGTGCAGAATTATAAGACCTTTCATTTGAGATCAAAAAAGGGGCTAATTCCTCAAATTAGGAGCTCAGATGGGCCAAAAAAATCTTCCATCTTTAACTCTTTAATTATCAATATTTTATAATACATCACAGAAGCGAAGATATTCATTTTAAAGATTTGCAACAATATATTATGAACTTTTTATAATATCCTGTGTAATTAGGGGTCAGAAGAGGTCAGAATGCTTAATATTTGATGCATTATATCTCAAAAATGGGGAATATTTTGATAAGCAATATTGAACAAAAGTAGAATAATGTTCTAAACAATATGCACACTTTTAATTTTTTTTTTAAATGGACCCATTAAGGACTTGTAGGTATGGCCCCTAAATATTTCCATTCAGCATAACTCTATAACGAAAAAAAATCTCTGAATAGGCGTTGAAGCAAAAGATTTTAAAATCACAAGACCTTTCATTTGAGATGAAGAAAAAGGGGCTGATTTCTCATATTAGGCGCTCAAAGGGGTCAAAAATCTTTCATCCTTAACTCTTTAATGATCAAATTTTGTAATACATCACAGAAGAAAATATATTTATCTTGACGAGTTGCAACAATATATTATAAAATTTTGATAATATGTTACGTAATTAGGGGTCAGAAGGGACCAGAATGCTAAATCTTTCATTAATCATATCTCAAAAAGGGGGAATATTTTGATAAGCAATATTGAACCAAAGCTGGTCAAAATAATGTTCTAAACAATATGCATTCTTGAAATTTTCGTAAAATAGTCCCATTTAAGACTTGTAGGTATGGCCCCTAAATATGTCCACTCAACATATCTCCATAACGAAAAGAAATCTCTGAATAGGTGTTAATGAAAAAGTCTTTAAATGTCAAGACCTTTCATTTGAGATCAAGAAAAAGGGGCTGACTCCTCAAATTAGGGGCTCAGAGTGGCCAAAAGTCTTTCATCTATATCTCCTTAATGATCAATATTTTGTAATACATCACTAAAGCAAAGATTTTCATCTAAAAGATTTGCAACAATATATTATAAAATGTTGATCCTGTGTTGCGTAATAAGGGTTTCCAAGGGGCCAAAATGCTATACCTTTGATCATTTACGTCTCAAAACTCTCGTATATAAAATAAAGGATGCGCAAATTCTTGGCACAGCTTTGTTAAGTAAAAGTTTGTTTTATAGAAATTCCATTTTTCAACGTGCGAAACCTAAAAGGCATCAAAAAGATTGAATGGATAAAGATCGTTTACAGACTTATTGAAAATGGAGATTGGAAAAGAGCTAAAAGAATATACACAGATCTATCCCGATGGTTCGAAAATTTTCAACATGTTTTCGATTTAAAAGTTTTATGTAATATTAACAAAGCACCAAATCATCGATGGATCATTCATTTTATATTGGAATTATTGCATAATGGAAGTGACTTTCACACACTACATATAGAAAGGAATGAACCCTATCTTCATGCATGTGTCAGACTAACACTTGCAACAGGTAAACAAACTTTCCTATCAAATTTCTTTGCGAATTTTACATATTATATTTCTCAAATTCAAAAGGTTTTTCCTACAAATGTAAAGGAAAGATACATGTAGTTAAAATTAAGAAAAAGTTTCATTTTACCATTAATTTATACATCGTCATTTCTACATCAAATTTCAAACCGACTGTTTATAATTAAGCGAAAGAGAGCACTTTTTAAAACGGTTTAGAAAGCTGCTTAATGAATCTGAAATATGAAAAAAATAAAGATGTTTATTTCATATGTACAGGCGTTTTAAAACACACGATCCCCCCCCCAAAAAAAAAAAAAAATATAATCAACATTTTTTTACATTCGATGGAATAATGAATTCCGTCATTTTACTAGGTGAAATGGACTTGTTTGAAGAAGTGTTCAATAAAGCAAAAGAAAGAAAAGAAGAAAGTAAAGAAGATGGCCAGAACAACACTGTCCTTCATCTTGCCGTGAATCAGATAACGATATGTTGTAACCCAGATTTTCGCGTATTTCTTGTCCAAAGACTACTTGATATCGGTGTTGATCCAACTCTATTAAATAAGCAAAAGAAGACCGCATTAAAATGTGTTCCGAAAAGCTTAAAGGGCCTTGCAGATTTTATGAGAAATTATGGTATGTATTCATTTCAAAGTCCGTATTAAAAGCACAAGCTTAAGAGGGAATGGAATATTGAATAAACACTGGATTTAAATTTTTTTGATATTTTCAAAGATAATATATTATATCTTAATAATTATATAGTAAAAATTTAAAAAAAAAAAAAAAAAAAAAAAAAAAAAATTCATTCAACGCAAACTTGTACAAAGCAAAAATGGAGAAAAAATATTAAAAAATATTTTTGAATCTCGAAGTACATCTCTAATTGACATACTATTTCTAAGTATATGATGTATATTGTGAAAAATAAAAAAAATCCTTTGATCTATGTTTATACTTCGACCAAGAGATTTTTGATTTAAAGAAATGATGTAGCTTTGAAAGAGCACATTAATTTTTCGTCAAAGGTCAACATGTTCAAAATTTTTTTTTTACAATAGCCCCAAAACTATGTGAGGTATAAAGTTAAAGCTTTTACAGTTTATAATTTTTTCATTGCTTAACAGATAGAAAGTATCACGTGATAAAAAAATACTTGGAAAAAATATTAATTGAGAACAATTCTTTTTAAAAATGCATACATTTTCAAAAAACACATAATTAATTACGTGCTCAGAGTGAAAACCATCATTGCAGAAACAAAAATTGTTTATGAATGAAGGGCAAGTTGGACTTGGATTGCCTATGGAAAGTTGTTTTCCCTGTTTATTTTGAAAGTGAAAGTACATTGCAAATGGCGGATTCTATAGGGGTCTTGTCTTTATACATGTCATGCTTTCAATAACAGTCTTTCAGAGACCATTCACGTTCAACTTGCCCTCCAGTGATAAACATATATTATTTCTGCAATGATGGTTTTCACAAAAAGGACAAAATTAAACAGGTGCATTTTTTTAAATATGCACATTTTCTGATACAATTTTTCAAAAAAAAAAAAATCTTTTTAAAAATATTTGTTATCAAGTGATATTTTCTATCTATTAATCAATGATACATTTATAAAGTGTAAACGTTTTGACCGAATACCACACATAGATTTGGAGCTATTGTAAAAATAATCTTTTAGACATGTTGACCTTTGACGAAATTATTGAATTATTATAATTCATTTTTTTTTACATTTCTACAGGAATACCTAAGTCTAAAAAAAAAAGTTTAAAAAAAAATAAAAATAAATAAATAAAAAAAAAAGAAATCAAAAAACTATTAATTGCTCAGCCTCCAATAGTCAGGAATGAAAGTGTTTTTCCAAATTTAAATGTTTTGAGTACATACATGTTTCATCGCTAAAGGCCAATATACATTTTTTTTTACAAATAGAAAATCTCCAGGAGTAAAATGATGCCTTTTTCCTAAATAATGAAAAATACGTAATGATAAACAAAGATTTCTAATGACGATGACAATGATAATGATTTTTATCTTGAATTTCTATATCGGATGATTATTTCACCTTTTTCTTGTAATATGTTTAATGACACCATTCCTTGCTCATTAAAGGCTACGTTTCTTCCATAAAGGATTTAATATTGGCATACATGGGTTCTAGAACCACTTACCCTTCTTTCACTACCCTTCACTGCGCTTGATAAGTGGGGGAATGGGTTAACCTACGTCCCTATGCTCAATGTCCATATGATGTCTATCTATGCCAAAAAGTGAGGGAGAACTTACCCCATCCCAACCCCACCCCACCCAAGCCCCCTGATTCTGACGCAAATTATGGATGCATTTCAATATCATATACTATTAGTTGGCGCAACATTCATAATTATGAAAATTCTGGGTTATCGAAAGAGTTTATCATAAAAAAAATTAAGCCTAAAATTCTTAAAAAATTACCATGCACATTTCTAAAATTTTACTTCGTTTGTACGTGTAGGCAATTCCCAGCAGCATCTAGAAGCATTTCGGTCCAATTAAAGACATTTTCCTGTCTACATACATACTTTTTTGGATAACTGTGCTCCATGTCATTTAACGACGCTTGATTCATTTATTTTTATGCTTTGAGTAAAAATTGATTTTTCATAGATGGCTATAAAACAGTCATATACCCTACAACTTAATTCAAAATATCTGCAACTTACGTTGTATGAATATCTAAGCTATAGGTAATATTTATTATAAATGTCTTTTTTTGCATTACAGTTGTGCAATTTGTAATTTAAATAAAAAGTCTTTATTATGTAACCGTGCCAAACTTTGGTATGCTTCGTTAGGCGTCTTTAATCAAATTGATATTGCTGTATAGTTTTTAGGATCACCAGCAAACACCCATTTTTGTAATTTTTCATAGGGTTCATAGAAAAGGCGCGCTCAATACAGAACGTTTCTAACACCTTCGTTCAAGCGATTACTATCAAGTCATGTTTAATTAATAAATGACAGAATGACTTATGAAGGGATAAATTGTGTATACATGTATTTTATTTTAGAGTCTAAAAGACAATTAGATATGCAAGAAAAAAAGGACGAAAGAAGGCAAGATTTAAAAACATTTCAACTACAAATGAAGGCTGAGAAGGAAAAGCGAGTGGAACAAAAGAAGCTGGAGAGAAAAAGAAGGTTTAATTTTGTTAAAAACTTTTAATCCATTATTATCACACTTCGTAATTGACGACGGATTTTTCTGTTTTTTCCTGATCTGGACAAGGAGCACACAGTGGGTATGACCAAACGGTAGCTATAGGGAATGCTCACTCCCTAATTGCACCTGATCCCACCTCCTATGTTTTGGAAGTCCATGTTTGCTCTACGTCTATGTTGAACTGTTTTAGGGATTTTTGATCTTTAATACAGCTTGTTTTCTCCATTTGTTTCACTGAAATACTATTCGTTATCTCCATATATTTAATCAATAGTGTTTGAATATTTAAAATGCAAGATTTTGAAGCTCCTTGTTGATATTAATAGCATAATCATATTTTAGATTCGATGATGATCTCCAATTAGCCATGGATAAAGAATGCACATCCAAATGCCATGTACGGCTACAGGAAGCAAAAGAATACATGAGCTTAAATGAATTTCGAAATGCTTGTCTAAAGTTGACAGATATTTTTCTAGCTAAGCATAGATCAGAAGCACATCACCAACTCGTAGAAAAAGGAATTCAGCTTATTATCCACCTTTTTGGATCCACCGGAAGTCCAGGTCTATTTATCTCTATCTCTCTCTCTCTCTCTCATTTCTCATTTTTCTTTCTATCTTTCTTAGGATGCACCCCGCACTTGTTGGTATAAGGTGGACTGACAAAATCCAGGAAGTTTTTTTTTGTGAATTGTCAAATTATTTAGGAAAGTCATCCTCTTCCTAAATCCTGTCAGTACATAGTTTCATTTTAGTTCTCTTTGTTAATATTTTTGCCCCCACACATACCTTGAAACTGTTGTTTCGAATGTGCATGAATATATTTTTACATGACTAACGTCAATTGTTTTTCCTTTGTGACACTAGTCTAGCCGACATCTAAGTTTTATAGAAATGTACATATAATTATTATGATGTTTAATTATAACCAGTAGCTCTATCGCTATAACTTTACACTCTTTTTAGGCAACATAGTATCGATTTCGTCTTGAAAACTAAAGATAAAATAGCTAAAACCACTTCTTCCTAGTTATTAAAAAAATATCGATATCTCGGAATCTCGAAATTGAAGAAAATGACTCATGTTTTAAGCTTTTACAACTGAAAAAATATTAAGATATCCGTGGTATCGAAATGTTTCAGAGTTAAGACTCAGCATCTAAGCTTAAGATTTGAGCGCTAAGCGTGAGCTTTTCATTTCATAGAAGAATTCAATAGTCAGTGAAAAAATGCATCCTTTCATCATTTTATGGTCATCAAAAATTTATCAGCAAATACAATTTATCATTTAGTCAAATAATGACTGACGTTTTTCATACTAATTGTTAGTCCATTATTTGTACACTGAATTGACGACGGATTTTTTCCTTTATTTCCTGATCATGACAATGAGCACACGGCGAATTTGATCGGTCAGTAGGTGATAATTACTCATTTATGGTACCTGATCTTACCTCTGATGTTTTGCTCTGCTTCTATTTTGTATTGTTTAATGGACTTTTGATCTTGAATACTTTTTGATATATCTATATATTTCAACTTAATTTTTTTCGCCTCAATACATGTATTAACATTTTTTCTTTCATCTTTTTATGAAATGTGACATACGTAAAGGCATTTGTGCAAAATGTCTTTTTACTTACATGTACTTACATGTATCTATCATCAAAAACTCCGCAAGCCTACATGTTCCTGTATATTTATTTGCCCTGCATAAAAGTAGTACCGACGTTACCGAAAAGGGCTTATGAAACCGTTTACACTTTCATCTAACAAAAAATGACTTCGGCCTCGGTCCTTATAATTGTCAATCAAATATTCATTTGATATAAATATGCAGATTTTTTTTTCATATTTTAAAAACACAGAGAGCAAATATTTTATACGCAAGCTACATGTAGTTAAAGATAGGTATGGGCATTTCGATGCAAATGCGCATATACATATGTTATTGAACAGGGTGTTGCCTTTTTCTTCATTTTGTTTTCAAGAAAATTCTAGATATCCTCTCACACTGACATATCTACATATTACACACATATTTCAAATACAATCCCCATGTTTCCATATGATGTTATAATTTCAGCGGTCAATGCGTCCATTAACGAAGCGATTTTGTTAATGTTCATTACGTGAAGTAGAAGTTGATAACGTCACAATATGACGCCATAATTTATATTGGCTAACGCAGAATATTGGTACCAAGAATGTATTAGAAAACAAGTATTATTATAGTCTTATACTGTTTTAGTGACAGGGTACGGGATATGATACCTGGTTAGTAAATTCATACCTAGCTAAGCGGAGCAGAGTCAAGTATGAAATTTACTTACCAGGTATCACCCCGTACCCTGTCACTAAAACACAATATAACAAATTTACCCCACCGCTGAAAAATTTGCGTATTATCTGTGGATTATAAATGTTTTTAAACATTTAAGCCGCCTTTCCTTCTTAAAAGGTAGAGCACTTAATTACTAGGTTTTCGCTTTGGATAATCAATTATCTCCCAGACCCTTTTTGGACTTTAGGCACAAAGGTACAAAGACAAATAATTTGTTTTCACACTTCCATGTTACAGTTAATTGGTACTGTTGTTGCATTAAAATAGATTTGTCTTTTCTGTTATAAACCCATGGCTCTAGAATTATATTAGAAACCATAAGTCTAACATAACATGATACCGAAGTCATTTGATTGATGTAAATAATACGCATAAAATTTTAAACATGTTCAAGAAAGTCTTCAAAGTTTCTTACTATTCTAAAGTATCTTTTTATTTTTTTTCTTAATTACATCTGTAGATAATAAAAAAAATGATAAAATAATCACGGCAAAAAAGAGGAAGAGCCTTTTAAGGCCTTATTTGGCGCTGAGAATTTCTGAAAAATCAAAACCGCTCAGTTTAGGTTGCAAATGCAGTATTAATCACTTGGAGTGTTGGTGACCACGTATCTATCAATCGTGACGTATTTTCACATCTAGTCAATGCATTATGACGTCATAAAATGAGTCATTTTCCTCATATCCAGTACTTTCCTTTGAAAATGACCTAAAGTTGAAGCATTTTTTTTTCAATATTTCATATAGAGCACCACCTCTGATCCAAAATATGCAAATACATAATGAAAGCTCTGTTTCTGAAGATCAAAAAATATGTTTTATTTTTTGGATCGTTGGCTGTGCTCATATTTAAATTCTTTCCTGAAGGTAATCAAATACGCATGTTTTCTGCAAATTTCAAGAACATTGCAATTTCTCAAACCTGTTTTCCAATATCTGGATTCTCAAAACGAACTTTTATAATAGAAAATGAAAGCACCAAGTGTCCACTTTATTTTGATATATGAATTGGCAATGAGGAGGATTATAAATTAATTGATATAAGTACAGGGCCATTTTATGCATCAGATGGCTCTTGCTCTTTAAAGTAATTTGACTGTATGGACCAGAATTCGCAGTACATTAAGGATAAAAATTGAAATATCGGCGATTTTTTAAGATAAGAAATACATACTTTATTAGGATGGGTGATTCTTTTTAGGACTTCATTGATATCAAAAACTAAAATGTGGCCCAAATCCACATATTGAGGACATTTAGAATGTTGACTTGTCACGTGATGTGCAATTATAGTTTAGAGGTCAATTTCTATAAATTCCAATATTGCAAGGGCATAACCAAGTTATAAATCTTAGTTTAATTTATAATTCTTAAACACTTTATATAGTTTATGAAAAGTGCTGCAAACCTATATAGATTTTCTTATTTAATTGCTAAAATTCACTTTGTTGGACGACAGGTTTAATATTTTGCTGATCAACTACATAAAAAATTTATACATGTAGCTATAATAAATCTATTTGCAATATTATATGATATTTTAGGCACTTTTCAAATGCCTTAATGCTTCTTAAGTTTATGCATAAAAACTTGGCAAAATACATTGGTATGCCCTTGCAATGAATCGATTCATCAGGGTACTCCTTTAACTTTTTCAATGAATCTGCATACAAACACACGACAGTATCACTTGTCTTGCGAATATAAGGACATAATATAAAAGAAATACTAAAATAGACATTTCATCCAAGTTATCGGCCTTTTTCATTGTACAAAATGTTACTTGATCAGTCTCTCACTGTTTACAAACTGCGTCATTTTTTTGCGAGATGACGTCACATTGACAAGTGTATTGCGATCGATAAATCGTTTATATACATACAGTTGTATGTATTGTTGTGTGGGATTTAACAAGCGACAAAACTGCAGTAGTAAATGTTTAAGTAGTCTACAGCTATGCAGCAGTTTGGTATTTTGAAGAACTATTATTATGTATGACGTCATAGTAAAGCTTTACCGTATAAATATGGCCCCACCTCTTGACTGTAATCTTAATTTCCTCTGCTTTTCAAAACACTTGTTTTTATTTTTGATCAATATATACGAGCATATAATTTTTTTGAACGAATTAGCGAGTTTTAAGAAAAGCGTGTGCATGTATTCTTTTGTAATTGAATTGATATTGATTCAGTTGCAAAGTTGATGGCGAAAATGCCGCAATATTTAAATACTTCCCGTAAACTCTGCAACACATTAAAATTTTAAACAATGGAGAACCCTAATGACGTCACTTTGTGTTAGTTACGTGATACATCGACCGAGTATTGATTTACAGTTGACAGTATATGTAATCCACCTCTTTCACGTGACAGATTTTAACCAATTGTAAGCCAAGATTTCGTTGAAAACTCAACTGAGGTGGGGTAATACCTTTTTCTGTGCGGTATATATAGCCATTATACGACTTGCATATTTGTGCATGATCTTCTACCTTTCTGTACACAAAAATCGAGAGTGCAGCATCTTAAAATGCGTCATCAGTTTAGATAGAAATCATTTAAAATAAGGCGATCCACAGATTCAAAATTGTGGATTTCTGTAGTAAAAGGTTATTTTCTTTCTACTGTATTTCGGTATAAGACTTAACTTTTGAATGTT